TAAAAGGAAATTATCAGGAAGGAGTTACGAAGCCAACAAGTTCATCATCTGAGTTCGAATCAGGGTTGGCGAGCACTGTGACCCCTTCATTCACTAAAGAGCAGTATGAAAAACTCCTCGAGCTTCTAAAGAAGGATGCAGAAGAGACTGTGCACGCCCTTACCGGTACAGGTTCGACTAATCCCTCTCTATATACACATCCACACACAAATTGGGTTGTAGATTCAGGTGCTACCACCCACTTAGTCAGTGATCTTTCTTTATTAGATAGCTATGATATATACACTGGATTCATTAAAACGATTAAATTGCCAGATGGTGATAGAGTCTCTATAACTCATGTGGGATCGGTGAAATTTACAAATGGGATTAAACTGACTAATGTTCTGTATGCCTCAAGATTGAAATTCAACCTGATTTCTGTCTCTAGACTTACAAGGGAACATAATTGTGTTGTAGCTTTCTTTCCTGATATTTGTATCATGCAGGGCCTTCAGGTTGGCAAATTGAGGGCGACTGGTAGATTGGTAGATGGACTTTACATTTTACAGACAACAAACCAAGAATATGTTAGTTTTGTTGATGCTGTAGGAAAGAATTCTAAAAGTGTTGATATTTCCCTGTTACACAAAAGACTTGGTCATGCCCCTGTATCTGTTTTGAGGCATTTGAGCATTGTTTCTAATAAACATATCAATAGCAATAAAATCTGTGAAGTTTGCATACAGTCTAAACAAACGAAATTGCCTTTCTCTTCTAGCTGTATCAAGACTCTTGCTTGCTTTGAATTACTTCACTTAGATATATGGGGACCTTATCGAACCCCAACATATAGTGGACATCAATATTTTTTGACCATTGTTGATGATTTTTCCAGAAGTACCTGGATTTTTTTGATGAGATATAAGTCTGAAGCTGTGTTACATATTCAGGAGTTTCTGGCATATATCTCAAATCAATTTTCTACCCATGTTAAACGAATCCGTACTGATAATGGTTTAGAATTCTTGCATCATGATCTACAAAATTTTCTTAAGAATAAGGGAATTATTCATGAAAAATCTTGTGCCTATACCCCAGAACAGAATGGTATAGTTGAACGAAAACATAGAACACTGATGCAAATAGCTAGGAGCTTGATGATACAATCCAGTATGCCTATTAAATATTGGGGGGAATGTGTAAAAATGGCCACTTACCTGGTCAATAGAATTCCTTCCAAAATATTGTGCTATAAAACCCCTTATGAGATAGTATATCACAAGCTTCCAGACTACCACAATATTAGAACCTTTGGATGTTTAGCTTATGCCACTGATTTAAAAATCACAGATAAGTTCAAGCCTCGGTCTGTGCCTTGTGTCTTCCTTGGTTACCCAAATAATCAAAAAGGTTTTATATTACTGGACATCTTTAATAAAAGACTATTTACAAGCAGACATGTTAAGTTCATAGAGGATAAATTTCCCTTTGAAGATGCTATAGGCACTGAATCAGGGGGAGGGAAGACACGTTTGTCTAATAATTTTTTGTTTGAGCCGGAACTAAATGAGGAACAAGTGGTTCGAAATCCTATTTCTACTCCTGAACAGTCTGTCGACCCTAATTTTTTTGAAGGTGATGTTATTAACAATGATGTGGTTGAGCAGAATCAACGTAGGACTGTTAGAGACAGGAGGCCACCTATTTGGGCCAAAGATTATGTTTGTAATATGTTGTTGTCTAATGCTACTGCACAGAATGATTCTGCTGTGAAATGTAGGTATCCTATTGAGAATTATATGTCTTATAAACATGTTTCTGCTTCTCATCTTTATTTTTTATGTGCCATTGATACTAACACTGAACCGACTACTTATGATGATGCTGTTAGGAATGACAAATGGGTTAAAGCTATGAAAGATGAGATGAATGCTTTAGAATATAATAAAACCTGGGATATAATGCCTCTTCCCAAAGGAAAGAAACCAATTGGATGTAAATGGGTATATAAAATTAAATATAAAGCTGATGGTAGTATAGACAAATATAAGGCAAGACTTGTGGCTAAGGGATATAATCAAAGAGAGGGAATTGACTATCATGAAACTTTCTCTCCTGTAGTAAAAATGATAACTGTGAGAATTGTGCTTAAATTAGCTGCTGTAAACAATTGGAGTTTGTTTCAGATGGATGTTCATAATGCATTCTTGCAGGGAGATTTAGATGAGGAAGTTTACATGTCCATTCCGCAAGGTTTTGAATGTAAGGGGGAGAACATGGTTTGCAAATTAAAAAAAATCTTTGTATGGGCTTAAACAGGCCTCAAGGCAATGGAATTTTAAATTGACTACTGCTTTAAAATTAGGAGGATTTGTTCAAAGTAAACATGACTATTCTTTGTTCATTAAAAGATTTGAAACAGAGTTTGTTTTGGTTCTAGTTTATGTTGATGATCTTCTTATCACTGGTAATTCTGAGGACAGAATAAGGGAAGTGAAAGATTATCTGCATAGGCAATTCAAGATCAAGGATCTAGGGGAAATTAAGTATTTTTTAGGGATAGAGATAGCTAGGTCCCAAAAGGGAATTATTTTGTCTCAAAGAAAGTATGTGCTGGATTTGATTTCTGATGCAGGACTAAGTGGATGTAGGCCACTGTCAGTACCAATGGGGCAGAATTTGAAGCTGCGAGCCTTTGAAGAAGGAAAGGATGCTGAGAAGGATTTGCTAAGGGATCCTGAACGTTATAGAAGACTTATAGGTAGATTAATATACCTGACAATAACACGGCCTGACATCAGTTTCTCTGTGCAGGTCCTCAGCCAATTTATGCAGACTCCAACTAAGATGCATATGGGAGCAGCGTTGGGGGTAGTAAGATACCTGAAACAGAATCCTGGATTGGGTATCCTCCTCAGCTCCAATGAAGACTTGAAGATTAGCTGTTTTTGTGATTCTGATTGGGGAGCATGTGCAACCACACGAAGGTCTGTGACAGGATACTTGCTAAAAATGGGAGATTCTTTGATCACTTGGAAGACTAAGAAGCAGTCTACGGTGTCACGATCCTCAGCAGAGGCAGAGTATAGAGCTCTTGGAGCTGCAGTGTCAGAGATAGTCTGGGTTAAAGGATTGCTTGAAGATTTAAGAGTTTGTCATCCTCAGCCAGTAAGAGTGTTTTGTGACAGCAAAGCAGCAATACACATAGCATCAAATCCAGTATTTCATGAGAGGACTAAGCACATTGAGATAGATTGCCATTTTGTACGGGAGAAATTGCAGAATGGATTGATTAGTCTAATTCATGTGAAAAGCAGCAATCAGGAGGCTGATATACTAACTAAGGCAGTTGGATACGATAGTCAACGGAAAATGTTGAGCAAGTTGGGAACTATAAATATTTACAGTTCCAAACTTGAGGGGGAGTGTTAGAATTATTAGAGTTAGTTAAGTTATTGGACTTGGGCTGACTTGGGCTTTCTCTCAAAGCCCATAGCGTTGTAATAGTTAGGTAGGTTTATATATTAGCCGAGAGCCTTGTAAATGTATCGGATTGATCATTCTTGTTTTCTGAGATGGAATAAAACAAGAGTTTTTGTTCTCTCAATCGCTGGGCTTCGTTTATCAATCACAATGTATTGGGAACACTGCCATACTTGCAGCTGAAGTATACAAGAAAGAATCATCGTCGGGCACTGTTCAGAGCTTGCGCTTCAATGAGGTTGATATTAGGGAGCTCCGTTCGTTGTTGATGCCTGGGAACCTTGTGGACGCAATCTTCTGCTTAGATCAGTATGAGTATCAGCAGAGTGCAGGGATTAGATTGGTTGCTAAAAAGTTGATCTTTCACGTGTAGAAGGAACGTACCGAACGTGTTTTTAATTTGGCTAGGTGACACATGAATGCCAAAATAATTAAAATTATTATCAAATCATATAATTAGCATGTATAAAATGACTGAGTTATTGTAAAATTAATTCCACTGATGATTAACTTGAATGTCTAATTAATCCTTGGAGCTTGAATGCATGTAACTAAGACGGAATATTTCAATGATAAATTTTGAGAGAAAAATCTCAAATAGTTGGCGCTTGCATAGTAAATCAATGTAATTAATCACAAAGATAATCTTAATGGAGTCCAAGAATCTCTCCAAGTCAAACTCTACTTTTATACGCGTAATAGATATATAATAGGTAGGTTGTTATATTATCAGTGAGTCAATCATATTACTTCTCCGGTCCTAATTATAAGACCCAATTGACTTATTTGAGGAGATTAAGGAAGTAGGTTAAGTTGGTTATTTATAATAAATAAGTGTTGTCATTCCTAAAATATCCTTGCTAATTAAGTATACTAAAACTATCATTATTAGAAGGATTATCTTGAAAAAAAATACATAAATATAAGAGACAAAATTGATTGTAGTCTTATAATTAGAACCAAATAAAAAGTCAAATGAGGTCTTATAATAAGGACCGGAGGAGTAATTATATACTGTATCAAAGGAGACAAACTCCCCACCGAACAAAAGAAAGAAACAAATAAAAGAGGAAGGGAAGATTTAATGGCCAACAATAATCTCTAAGAAGTAGAGGAACCACGTTAAGGATTATTGTCATTCTGACCTTTACTCACGAGCTGTTCAAAGCAGACCGGTGTGTTTCTTTTCATCTTTTCTATTTTCTCCTCGGCTTGTTGTGAGACTCTCTCTTCGATTTTTTTGCTTTTAAACTTTTTGTGAAATATTACTCATTTTACTCTAAATATAAGACTTTCTCCTCTGATTTTAAATATAAAATCCTTTTTATAGTGTACATAAGAATCTTATATTTAGAATTGGAAGAGTCCTTTGTAATACAAAATGAGTAGTATTGGTCGAACTTTTTTTACATCATCAGCGATCACTGCGTCCAAAACAAGTTGTAGATCCTTCGTGACCAAGCAAGCTGCTCCCACGTGTTCTACAGAAGCTTTATCTTCATAATTAAGCAAGTTCCTTGAATTTATCAAAGCCTCCACCATTAATTCTGCCCTTCCCTCCACAATTTCCGAGCTTGCATTCATCATCGTCGATGGATCACGCTGAAGATCCACCCCCAATTGTATTTTTCGACGTTGAAACCATCTACTCCACTTCTGTCATCGTGGAGTTCGGAGCCATCTTGGTTTGCCCCAAGACACTTAAGGAGCTCCGACAACCCTACTCCACCTTGGTCCGACCGGCCGACCCCTCCCTCATCCCCCCAGTCTTCCAGCGTAGCAACGGAATTAATCGCGATGCTCTTGCCGTTGCTCCTACTTTCGCCGACATCGCCGATACGGTTTACGAGCTTCTTCATGGTTTGCCCTTCTCTGCGTTTCTCTGCCTTTTCGTGGCCAGAACGGAGGGAAAAAAAAAGGCATGATGCGGCAAATTGCAATTACAACTCTTCTTTAATTTTTGTTTTTGTTGCAGAAAGGATTTGGGCGGGTCATAACATCTTAAGATTCGACTGTGTTCACATCAGAAAGGCATTTACTGAGATGAATCGGCCACCGCCGGAGCCGAGAGCTATCATTGACTCTCTGCCTTTGTTGACTGAAACATTTGGAAGGAGAGCTGGTGACATGAGGGCATCCTTCCTATGTGTATATATATTTTATAGAGAATACATTTTGGAAAAGTTTTGCCTGTTTTTTTTCCAAAGAGGAATATGTTTTAAATAATATATAATCGCACTATCAGTTGCTCTCAATAATTTACAACTAAGATTCTCACATTTAAAATTGTCTGAATCAAGTATTTATAACTCATTTTTTTAAATGATGTAATACTCCCTCTCGTTAAACTTTTATATCAGCCAAGTTTTTTTGTTATTATATCTTCTTTTTCATCAAACTAACAACAATAACAATAAGCCTTGTCCTATTAGACGGGGTTAGCTATATGAATTACATAACGATGACGTTAATGTGTCCTATCAACAACCAAGTTTTTAGGTATGTTATTGACCAGGAGGTCCTGTTTAATGACCTTATTGAATGTTCTTCTAAGCCTTCCTCTACCTTTTTTCCACCAAACTAGATTAAAAAAAGAAAAATGTATACTATCCCATAGTTTGGCTTTGTCTGATTAGTAAGCTTCAAGTTTTCCTATACATGTTAATTATTGTAGATGGCCAGTCTTGCAGCATATTTTGGTCTTGGTCAACAGAAACACAGGTAACTGATTAACTGTGATAAACGATGGAATTTTATGTGATGTTTTCTTGTAAGCCAGCTATAGTAATTTCTTTTTGCTCATTATTTTCTGCATTAATTCGATCTTCAGGAGCTTAGATGATGTTCGAATGAATCTCGAAGTGATCAAAGACTGTGCAACTGTTATGTTCTTGGTACAATCTCTTCCATTTGAAGCATTTTCCACACACACACATATATATGTATATATAATGCTCCCTCTGATGCTTTATATATGAGAAAATTTAGGGAATATTCTCTTGGTCTTAAATAATAAAAGAGATTAACTTTCATTAGATAAAAGTTTCCCTCAAACTATTCGATCATTAAAAGTAAATTGACTTTATGGGGGTGTCACTAATTATTTGGTACAAGTTTAAATTTAATTGAGGCTTTTTGGAAACAGAACTACCATTTGTAACATATTTATTAGGAATGATAAATGCTTTCAACTATTTGTTTTAATTATATATATATATATATATATATATATAAATAGAAACAGCGAGGGTATTTTAGAACCGTCATATGTCAGATTTATATCAGCGTACAAGAATGTAATTTATTGGCTAAAAAATTGATGCTCCATTTTGTCTTGGAATATGGTACTCAATTTTCAAATGCTTGTGTCCTTTTATAATATTTTGTTCAAAATTATATTATAACATTGTTTATAAAATATTTTCATATTTACCCCTATTTAATGGTTTCTCCAATTTCTAATAATAAATACAACTGTACCATAATAAAACATTAAATTAGGGCTAGATTTTGGAAAGAAGAAAAGAATATTTCGATACAATTACTAATTTTATTGGTCTCCGTAACTTGGACAATAAGCTATTATATATATTGAACGTGGCTGCGTTACCTTTTCTCATTCAGGTTATTTGGTAATTGCTAATATAACATCATTTAGCAAATAACGCTAGTTGCTAATAACAATTTAGTTTATTTTGTTTAACTTTGATTGGTTAAATGTGCCTACTCTTTTTTTAAAAAATTAGTAAAAAAATACATATTTGAAAATTATTGACTAAAGATTTAAATTTGAGCAGATGTAACTATCTCCATTACGTACAACTTTTCTTTAGTTGTATGCAACATATTTTCCATTTTGATGACTTCTGCACATAATTGAAAATACATTGCACATAGCTAAAAAAAAAATTGTACCCCTCTCAAATTCAGGCCCTTTTAGTAAAAATTTTTTTCAAACAGGAACATTATTTTACGAAAATTCCCTTCTCTTTATTGGTTCAATTCACTGATGAGTAATGGATTGCATTTTTTTAATCATCGTACAGGAATCATGTCTTCCAGACGTATTCATAGTGGATAGTTTGGCTTCTCCAAAAGTTGCTGCAAGAAGTTGCCGTGTGGGAAAATCTTTACAAGACAAGGGCCTATCAGACATGAAAACAGAATCCGTGTTACTATCACCTATTGCAACTCAATGTAACGAAGAAAAACGTCCAACAACATCTTCTCATATTGCAACGTGCAGCTCAGAAGGCAATAAATTAGCTAATCCAGTTCAATATCCTCAACCACAAGAGACTTGTCCAGCTGCTTTATCCGAGGCTAGTTGCAGCAGCAATTTTACTGTTTTGAAGCCCTATGAAGTTTTCATCTCTAGCCTCACTGGATCTCTTGTTCCATTATGTTATGGCAGTCAAAGGATACAACTATTGCACAATGGTTTCCCTTCTCAGCTTTCCTGTGATGATCTCAAAATACGGTTCGGAAAAAGCGGCAGGTTTCATAATAATGCAGGCCAGCCAAAGTTGAGTTTTGTGGTCGATCCATCAGAAAGCTTATGTGAGGTTCTTGAAGTCTGTGATGCCATTGCTCTGAGTTCACTTTTGGACTCTGGACGTAGCTCTCATAATTGGAAGCCAGTAATTGTTACCAGAAAAGAGGGCTCCTTCAGTTATCCTACCGTGAGGTTACGGTAAGTTCTATATCATATCTTACGCAGCAGATTATAAAAATAATTGCATGCAAGCCTTTCAAAATTTGGCTGCTTGAGAATTTAACTACTTTGTGTAAATATTGGCATTCCAGAATTCCCATATCAGAATGTGGGGACGCTACCATATTTGCAGCTGAAGTGTACAAGAAAGAATCATCATCAGGCATTATTGAAAGGTTACGTTTCAATGAGGTTGATACCAAGGAGCTCAGTTCGTTGTTGATGCCCGGGAATCTTGTGGACGCAGTTTTCTGCTTAGATCAATATGAGTTTCAACAGGGTGTGGGGGTTAGATTGGTTGCAAAAAAATTGATCTTTCATAAGTAGAAGGAAATGCGTGCATGTTAACATAAATTATAATCAGTTCATATATTTACAAGGATGTGTAAAATGATTTGAGTTATTGTAAATTCCACTGATACCTTAAACGGGAAATCCTTGGAGTCCAGCTTGCAGTAGAACCGAGTACTTCTATAAATCTTGAAAGCCATAAATCTCAAATTGCCATTATTTGGCCCCACACACACCCCCTTGATTTATGGCGTAATGGGCAATCCTCCGGAGAGCTAGCCTTTATTCGTGATTCGGCCACAAAACCTGGAAAACGAATCAACTAAAATGGGGCCTTTAAAAAAGTCGACCAGAAAAAGTTGAAGACGCCGACCAATGTCCAAAGCAAGTTGCGGAGCCTTCATGACTAAGCAAGCTCCGACGTACGTGTTCTACAGAAGCTTTAGCTTCTTAAGCAAGTTCCTTGAGCACCCCTACCTTTATTAAAGCCTCCGCCATTAATTCTGCTTGCTCTTCATCGCTCCTTATGCTCGGAGCTTGAATTTATCATCCTTCACTTGGGATGGATCACGCCGACGACGACCGACCCGAAATTGTATTCTTCGACCTTGAAACCATCCACCCAACTCGAGTCATCGTGGAGTTCGGAGCCATCTTGATTTGCCCCAAGACGCTAAAAGAGCTCCAAGAACCCTGCTCCACCTTGGTCCGACCCGCCGACCCTTCCCTCATCCCCGCCGGCTTCCAGCGTAGCAACGGAATCACTAGCGATTCTATTGCCCGGGCTCCTACTTTTGCCGAAATCGCCGACGATGTTTATAAGCTTCTTCATGGTTTGTCCCTTCTCTGTTTCTTTGCCTTCTCGTCATGGCCAAAATGGAGAAAAACGAAACATGATGTGCCAAATTATTGCAATAATTATAATTATAATATATAATTCTAATTCTAATCCCCCGGGGTTTTGTGTAGATCGGATTTGGGCGGGGCATAATATGTTAAAATTTGACAGTGGCTGCATCAGAGAGGCATTTACTCAGATTAACCGGCCCCCTCCGGAACCCAAAGGTTTTATTGACTCGTTAGTTTCGTTGACTGAAACGTTTGGGAGGAGAGCTGGGAACATGACGGTACGCTTCCTATATTTCGTTTCCTCTGTTGTATGAGATATCCCGTTTTCCTTTTTTTTTGGAAGACAAAGGCGCACTGCATGTTTTTAACATTCGTATAAAGAATAAACCTTTGTCATATACACTATCCCGTAGTTTGATTAGAAGGTGATTTTATGTCACCTTCGAGTTTTGACGCATTCATCATCTGTTCACTGCAGTTGGCCACCCTTGCAGAGTATTTTGGGCTTGAAAAACAGACACACAGGTAATTGTGCTTGTCGATGAGGTTTTATGCCATATATGCTTTCACATAATTTCTTCTTACTTGATAATTCTGCGACATATCTTCAGGAGCTTAGATGATGTTCGGACCAATATTGAAGTAATTAAATGCTGCGCAACGGCTATGTTCCTGGTAAAATTTTACTTGCAAGCATTTATGTACCATCAATATAATAATTGGCAAGCAATGATTCACTTTCATAACCTATTTTGAATGTTTATCAAAGTGATAGCGCAAATCGTGATGAGTTTTGAGCAGTCATCACTCATCACTCTTGAGAGAAATATCTTAACTCCTTCCGTTTCATTTGCACAAATCAGTGCATGGTGAACCATTTTCAGTGATCATGATGTTTATGACTCTGATAAAATCTAAACAATTCTAAATCAGTTTTAATGGCCTAGATTTAAATTTTTTAACTACTGATTTTTAAATTAAAAAATTATTTTTTAAAAGACTTACAATAAAGGGATTACATCTATTATATACCTATTAAAAAGAAAACATTTTTTTTGAAAAACAAAAATATTAAATATTAAATCTTGGCTATCTATATTAAATTTAAATGACTAGGATTTGATGAGCATTATGGTGCTCCTCGCTATGGTAAGCACTGGAACTGGTTTCACTAGTTTAAATGTGATCATTACTATTTTCCTTATTAGTTCAATCTTCTGAGCACTAAAATGAAAGCTGGCTCTTCAAACTCTGGATTCTGACTTTATAATTTTATAATCACCTGCATGCATCCATGCAGGAATCGAGTCTTGTAGATGCATCCACAGTGAATAGCAGGAGTTCTGCAGAAGCTGCTGCAAGTCATAGCAATGAAATACTTTTACCACATGAAGGCTCATCACACACTATACCTCAGAAGCATTTTTTCACCTTCGGTCCTCTTCGTGATGAAACAAACCAAGAAACAATTCAGGCACAGATGTTTTCTTCAGCCGCCGTGTCTGAGGCTTGCACCACCATTTTTGCTGTTTTAAAGCTCCATCAAATAGCTGTCCCCCGCCTCACTGCATCTTCTGTTCGATCAGATCATGGTGATCTAAAGATACAACTACGGCACGAAGGCGTCCCGTTTCAACTTTGTTGTGATCATCTTAAAATACTATTTGGAATAAACGACAAGTATTTTGATCGTGCGGGCCTACCAAAATTGAGTATTGTGGTTGATCTTCATCCATCAAAAACCCTATGCGAGGTTCTTGAAGCTTGTGACAGTATTGCAAAGAGCTCATATTTAGATCCTGGGCATGGTGGGAACCCTGATTATTGGAGGCCACTCGTCGCCAAAAGCGATGGCTTCTACGATTATCCCACTGTGCGATTGCGGTAAGTTAGTTTATATATGATACACATTTATAAATCTAAATGCCTTCAATTACTTCAGATATATGTTGACATTATAGGATACCTACGGCAAAATGCGGGAATGTAGCCATATATGCAGCTGAAATGTACCAGAGAGATTCATCATCCGGCACTAAGAAGAGGATGTTCTTCGATAAGTTTGATGTTGCAGAGCTGGGTTCCTTGCTCAGGCATGGTTCGTTTGTTGATGCAGTCGTCTCCTTCGATTTTTATGAGTTCCAGGAGAATGCAGGGATTAGATTGATAGCCAAAGCCTTGACCGTTCATTCCAATTAGAAAACAATAATATGTTATCACCGCTTGATATATTCATGCCAGATGATGAGTAGATAATTATAAAGTATTGTATCAGTGAAATAATCTTGGGATGAACACTTTTAAAAAAAAAAAAATTGCTTTTGCGCTTTAAGATTGGAAGGAGTGTGTACCTTTTTTTTTTTTTGGTGGTTTAATGTATGAACTAAGCCGTTCAGTTTCAAATTTCATTCTCTTTCAACTTATACGCGACAACAAATCCCAACACATTGATTGCAAATGTTTGACTACACCAATACATGCGTAAAATATATGTAATCGAAGAACTAATGCAACAAAAACAACAGGACCATGCATTATACTATCTCCGGTCCTTAATATAAGAGTTAACAGACTAATATGAGTAAATTAAGAAAATTAGTTAAGGTAGTTATTTATAATAAATAAGTATTGTCTTTTCTAAAGTATTCTTACTAATTAAATATATTGGTTAGAACTACTATTATTACAAGGATTATCTTGAAAAAAATGAATGAATATAAGAAACAATGTGAATTGGAGCCTTATATTTATAACTAAAATAAAAATTAAACAAGTTCTTGTATTGAGGACAATAGGCAGCACATATATTTTATATATATATATAAAATAAAAATTAAACAAGTTCTTCTCGTTTTCTTTTTATTCTTCTCTTTTCACCATGATGCTTTTATCGTCCTTCAAAGCAACCAGATTAATCGTGCGATATTTTAATTTTGATTCCCCCTTCGCTAAATGTGGAGGGTATATGTCGTTAATATAGTTTGTTTTTATTTTAGACGAATGAGCACACTAACCCCTCAAGGAATCGAGGGGTAGTAGAAAGTAATTTACATAAAACACATACGCGTTCATATACACAAAGGCTAAGGCAAAAGTTAATAGTGCAGTAGCTAGTGCTTGTTAACTATTATATATATAAATATATATATATATTTAAGGACAATATTTTTATTTTAACTCTAAATCAATAAATCCCCTACCCTTCAAGGAATTGAAGGGGTAAAAAGGTTGATGAGGCGGGATTACAGTCTTACTAATTAATTAATGTTTTGTAAGTCATGGTTTTGAATAGATTTACATAAGACATTAATGAGGATGATATCGAGTGGATTATTCATATGTTGGGATACATGTAGGGTCCAAAGCGACCCCAAAGACTGATATATAAGCTAATTCGTTTTAATAAAAATCACATATCCTAATCATAAATCACAGATAAGTCGAATAATAATTAAAATCCAAAGAAGTTATTAGTTGTTGAAAAATAAAAAAAAATAGTACTACTAAGAAATCCATCCAAACATACAACATGTTAATTTTGGTCGAGAGTACGAGTAAAAATATATTTTTTATTACACCGCGTGAGGCTAAAAAACTAAATCAGAATTTTGATTGATATAAGCTCAGTCAAAAAGGTGTGGATATGACATATGCATAAAAATTTGAAAGAAAATTACTATAAGGTCTTAAAAATATAGAATGCAATTTCTTAAAACCCTACAAAATTAATCAGCATGCAATAACAAATTTCAGTACAAAAAATAATAGCATGTTGATGACACCAATTGTCATTGAAAATTTTGGTAGGTAAAATATTCTTTTTTTAAGAATTTCACAATATGTCTCACTAAAAAAAGTCCCTTATCAAATTCATAGGGTGTTTGATTGACAGGAAAAATACTTTTAAAAATTACTTTTTGTACAAATTAAGATAAAGCTTCTCTCACATGTTTACTCCGTATAACATAAAATTACTTTTAAAATAATTAATTGATTCCATTCAAACACCTTTTTCAGGAACGTCTATGTATATATATATTCACCGAATAACCCAAGAAAATGGCCTTTGATTCCGGCTTCGGTCATTGAAATGAACAATTTTTCAACCGAAGCACCGATATTGCTTGGGACCACAAAGAAAATCAACCTTACAAACCACTATATAAATCTTCACCCTTTCCATAAGTTGAATATAATCACTTACATCTTCATTCACACATTTCTGTTTAGTTTCTTCTGTCCCACTTCCTTCATTAACCTTTCTGAGCTTTTGAATGGATCACTCTGAAGATGCGCCGCCCGAAATTGTATTTTGGGAGGTTGAAACCATCCACTCCACTTCTGTCATTTTGGAGTTAGGAGCCATCTTGGTTTGCCCGAAGACACTAACGGAGCTCCAACAACCCTACTCCACCCTGGTCCGACCCGCCAACCCTTTCCTCATCTCCACTGCTTTAAAAAGTAGCACCAGAATTGATCGCGATGCTCTTGCCGATGCTCCTACTTTCGCCGACGTCGCCGATGAGGTTTATGAGTTTCTTCATGGTTCGTCCCTTCTCTGCGTTCCTTTCTCCGCCTTGTCATGGCCAAAATGGAGAGAAAAACCAAACATGGTGTGCGAAATTGCAAATTATGATTCTTCTTTAATTTGCTTGTTTTTGTGTGTAGAAAGGATTTGGGCGGGTCATAATATCTTAAGCTTCGAATGTGTTGACATCAAAAAGGCATTTAGTGAGTTGAATCGTTCACCGCCGGAGCCTAAAGCCGTCATTGACTTGGTGCCTTTGTTGACTGAAACGTTTGGAAGGAGAGCTGGTGACATGAAGGCATCATTCCTGTGTCTATATTTTATGGAGCATATATTTTCGAAAAGTTTGTTTTGCCTATATTTTGTCATGTGTGGACAATGTGATTTTTTTTAAGGGGAAAAAAAACAACTAATCTGTTTTAAATTGAAAGTGCCCTCTAATATTAACATCCATTATATAAACAAAAACAATGGGAAATTAAATGATATTCAAGTTTTCCAAAATTAAAGTTCGACTTCCCGTCTGTTAAATCTCAAGAGTTTGCTAAAATTGAATTGAAAATTTAGATTTAGATTTAGATAGTTACAATTAAGAGAGTGTTAATTGTAAATTAGATATTTAAATCTCATGGGTTGTTCTTAATAATTATTTGCAATTAAAAGTTAAAACTCTCATATTTAAAAATTCCTGAATAAAAATATTTATAACTCATCTTTTACTAATTATCTGATATCATATATATATATTTATATATATCCCATAGTTTGGCTTTGTCTAATTTCAAGGCGATTTTATGTGAGCTTCAAGTTTTCATATGTTCAAGTTTTCATATGTTCATTGTAGAGGGCCAGTCTTGCAGCATATTTTGGGCTTGGTCAACAACCACAAAGGTAACCTACTGCTCTAATCGATATAATGCTTTAATTTCTTGTAATAAGCCGGCTATAATAATTTTATTTTTGCTTCCTTTTTCTGCAACAAATGTTCAGGATCTTAGACTATGTTCGCATGAATCTGGAAGTCATTAAACACTGTGCTACAGTTCTCTTCTTGGTAAAGTTTTACTTTGAAGAATTTCTTCATTATTTTCTGTTCTTGCTAATTAAAACCTTTAGCAGCATATTATCATATGTTTCTGCAGCTGATGCTAGATGCTACTACCTCTGGTGTTAAATACAAGGGTTGACAAAAAGTTTACTTTTATTTTAAATATAAAAATTTAATTTATTTTGTCTCTCTTATTTATAACTTTTTTTTAAAAAAATATATCTATTAATTACATATAGGAAGAAGGTTTTCATTAAGAGTAGTTACAATGCATATGATTAAAAAAAATAATATTTTAGAAAAACTAATGGGATACATTTGTTATAAATAACTAAATTAATTAATTTTTTAATACCCACAAACAAATTAATTAGTTACTAAGCTATTGTGTTAATAATTGAAGGGAGTAATTAACAATAATTGGCTAGTATTGATTCAACCGGATCAGTTTGGAGTCGAAATGTGACTCGTCAAATAGAATTTTGATTCTACTTCTTAATCCCTTCATCCATGTATAGGAATCAAGTCTTCCAGACATATTCACAGCGAATAGCTGGGTCTCTCCAAATGCTACTCCAAAAACTCGCAGTGCTGAAAAATCTTTACCAGGTAGGCGCTTATTATCACCTGTGGAGAATCAACGCAATGTTTCAACTGCTCCTATTGCAATGGGCAGCTCATCAGAAGGATCTAAATCAAAAACAGTTCAACATCGTCACTTCGACTTACGTAGCCTTCGTGATGAATTAGACACAGTGTCGAATCAAGTAGCTGCCATGGTGGATGAAAAGCCCATTCCAGAGACACCCCAGAAGTCTTCTTCTTCAGCTGTTGTTTTAGAACCTGATGAAATATTTATCTCTCGTCTCACAGCATCTCTTGCTCCATTATATCGAGGCAGTCAAAGGATACAACTATTGCACAAAGGTGTCCTCTTTCAGCTTTGTTGTTCTAATCTTAAGATACGATTTGGAATAAATGGCAGGTTTCAGGACTACGCGGGTCGGCCGAAGTTGAGTTTTGTGGTTGATCTTGATCCATCACAAACCTTATGTAAGGTTCTTGAAGCTTGTGATGGTAAGGCACAGAAGTTATGTTTGGAATCTGGTGGTAGCACAGATTGGAGACCAGTTGTTGCTAGAAAAGATGGCTTCTCTAATTATCCCACCGCGCGCTTGCAGTAAGTTCATCATATACTACACATTGAAAAATACATGCACACGTTTATAAATCGATGAAGTGGTTGCATGGGATATTAAGTTTAGTATTGGTTCTTTCACCTCAACAACTAGCTTTTAGGGTATGATTGTCCGTCTCATTCAGGTGCTCATCAACATAAATCTATTGCTTGTAATCAACAAAGATTATTATACGCATCCATTCACTTCAAATATATGTTGACATTATTACAGGATACCTGCAGCAGAAAGCGGGGATAATGCAGCCATATATGCAACTGAAATATATCAGAGAGAGAGATCAGGCAGTAAGAAGAGGGTGGTTTTCGAGAAGTTCGATGTTGGGGAGCTGGCTTCGTTTTTCGAGCCTGGCACGTTTGTTGATGCTGTCTTCTCCTTCGATTCTTATGACTTTCAACAGACTGCAGGGATTAGATTGATTGCCAAAGCCTTGACCATTCATTCCAACTAGAAACACTAATAAGCATTTTTAATTTTCTCTACTTTGATGCAAGCCAAATCAGTAGACAGGCAAACTATTGAATCATTCGAGTAATCTTAGTCGTTCATTTGATTATCAAATCTT